CGAATTTCTGAAGTGCTGAAGTGCCTAATTTCTGAAGTGCTGACCGAATCGAAGTGCCGAATTGCTGAATTACCTAAGTGCCAAATTTCGGAAGTCTCTAACCGAACCAAATTGCTGAAGTGGCAAATTTTGGAAGTGCCGTAGGGCTTTGGTTTTCTTAAAAATGGCAAAACAAGAGAGAGAGGGAAAATTATGGATATATTCTAACCCTACCCCTAACCCCAACCCTAACCCTACCCCTAACACTAACCCTACCATTAACCCTTGAAGTGTAATTGGTTGTGGTGGTTAGGGGTTAGGGGTAGGGTTAGGGTAGGGTTAGGGGTAAGGTTAGAGGTAGGGTTTGGGTTAGGGTTTGGGTTAGGGGTAGGGTTTAGGGTTAGGGAATTGCCCAAATATCGAATTGTCAATGTCCCAAATTTCAGAAGTGCCAAACCGAACCGAAGTGCCGAATTCCCGAATTGCTGAAGTCCAGAATTTCGGACATGCAGAACCAAATTTTTTGCCCATGCACATCCCTAGTATGCCCCTTCTTGGTCTCTATGCTCATGACCTTCTCCTGTCTGCTTCTCGCACACGTACGGACAACTCACGCTTGCAGTACTTCTCACGGACGGCTCCCTTCCTATGGAATGACCTGCCTACCACCATCAGACTCTCCCCTGGTCTTCAAACTTTTAAGAAGTGCCTTAAACCCATCTCTTTAGGAAAGCTTATGGCCTCCCAGAGTAACCTCTACCTCATATACCTGTCCCTTGCTTTGTCCTAAAGGGCAGCACTCTACTCTCACTTCCAGCTCTGCTTCACTCCCACCCTTTTTTATTGCTATCTCCTATCCTATTGTGTTTTTTACCCCACCTCCTATAGACTGCAACCTCGTTTGAGCTTGATCCTCTTCAGCCTATCGCTCTTGTAAGTTTTTTGTAATTGTCTTATTTATTGTTAAATCTCCCCCTTTTATAATATTGTAAAGCGCTACGGAATCTGTTGGTGCTATATAAATGCCAATAATAATAATAATAATAATATAGTGATGCCAAATTAGGAAGTTATCTACTATGCAGCTGAACATTGTTATCTATTAACATTTGTGAAAAAAAGTTATTTTGTTAAGTTTTCTGTTTCATTTGAATAATCGATAAGTCCCTAATTTGCTATCGAAATATTTTGTTCTCAGTCATTTTGGATGCTGTAGAATTCAGAAGCTTCTGAATCCTCAAATTCTGCAGAAATTCATACTAATTTCCGAATGTTTAATATAACTGCACAAAACAAACTTACAGAAATAGAAAGTGGGGCCTGTAATTTGCTCTCTGTAATTTTGACCCACACTCTGTAAGTTTTTTCCACTCAGCAACTATTCTAACTTAGACTTATCTTCATTTAATTCATATCTGATCCCAGAATCCAATTATTTGGAACGCACATTTTAAAGGAATATATATTTCTCTACCTTCAGTTACTTTCTTCTGAGCCCTGTTCTTTACTCCTCCAGTTATATAAAAAATGTTCAGACCTTTTCCTTCTGCATTTTTAATTAGTCCATCTGTCTCCACAAATTTCCTTTAAGGTTAATTTTAAACTTTATTTGTTCCCTGAAGCCCATTGCTTATACAGATTTTAGCTCCCAGCAACCACACACCCATTGCTCCTTCACGTTTACGTGCAGAGCATGATACCTCTAATTACTTGCTAATCATCTCACTAATTCCTTAATGATTTACAAGCTAAATAGTATTCCCTCTGTTGACCCCTTAAATGCTTGAATAATCAACTGTAATTTTCTCTTGATATGTTTCTTTCCAAACTCTATTATGTTAAAAAAAAACACACATGACTGGTTAAACATGACTTTTGTACCAGCAGGTCTTGCTATATATCGTACTGTATGTAATTCCCTTTCTGAGCAAAAATATTAATCTTTAAAAGGTCCTTGGGTAAAGATGCTAAATCAGAATGAGAAAATAATTAAGTATTGCAAATAATTGAAGGTTCAGTTTGCCCGTCATCTCAGTGTTGCTTCTAAAGGTCATTACATTGAGGTTAGAGGATTGTTTTTGATGAGAATATTCAAACATTCAAACAACTACTTGTGTTTTCCCTAGTTCAGTGCTTCCTAAACCAGTCCTCAAGACCCGCCAGCAGTCCAGGTTTTATCAGTATCTCTACTGGAATAAAGAAGGGAAATATATAAATTCTGGATTGTTGGTGGGATTGTTGAGGATTGGTTTGGGAACATCTGCCCTAGTATATTCTCAAATTTCATATCAACCAGTCAAATGCAGTCAAAATAACAATAAACAAGTGAAATAAATAATTCAAAATGGGTCACACATATTCCTGCCCCTTCATGTGCAATAGTTATACCATGCTTTTTAGTTCATTACATAGTACATATTGCCCAAGTTTGAGGACAGGACCAATTTCTGAGATTACTTTTGCTTGTACATTTGTATGGGACTGTACTGAGGTGAGGTATATTATTGAGGATATTATGGAACAAAAATGAGCATTGTCTTTGTCCTCAAGGTATTACAAAACATACTTGTTTGCTCATACTGAAATGATTGCTAATTCTTATGGCAAAAGTGGATATAGAGGCTGCCTTTCAGCTGCTTCCAGTCCACCCTGATTGTCATCACCTATTGGATTGTTCCTTCCAGGACTGTTATTATGTGGACCTGTGCTTGCCTATGGGTTGTTCGATTTCCTGTTTCTATTTTGAATGCTTTAGTACATTCCTGGAATGGGTGGTGCGGGAAGAGGCAGTGTGTAACTCGCTGTTGCATTATTTGGATGACTTCTTGTGTGTTGGTCCTGCTGGTTCAAATGTGTGTTCACACCTTCTCCGAACACTGGAATCAGTCGCTCAGTTCTTATGGGTCCCGCTTGCCCCGGACAAGATGGTGGGCCCTTCCACTTGTTTGAGCTTCTTGGGGATTGAGATTGATTCGGTTGCTGGGGAATGTCATTTGCCAGAGGATGAGGTTTTGGAACTGCGCAGCTTGGTTTCTGCCGCTGGGTCCCTCAGTAAGATTTAATTGCGACGTCTGCAGTCGATCTTGGGTCAGGTGCAATTTGCATGCCAGATTATTCCTATGGGAAGGCTGTTTAATCGCTGCTTGGCAGCGGTGACCACAGGGCCGGTGCAAGGATTCTTGCTGCCCTAGGCAAGAATACATTTTGACGCCCCCTTATAAATGCAACTACATTCCTTCAGAAGTTTATTCACTAAACTCTGAATTACACTAAAGAGACATTTAGGGAAAGATGCGCACTGAGTAGATATTAAAGGGAAACTATAGTGCCAGGAAAACAAACTTGTTATCCTGGCACTATAGCTTCCCCCTCCGTCAAGCGCATCCCCCCTCGTGGTGCAGCAGGGGTTAAAACACCTTCTGTCACTTACCTGGGTCCAGCACCAATGTCTTTTGTGCTGGCTTGGGTCCGCCTTAGCTCCTCAATGGCCGCGCTCACAGTGGTATTTCCGTGACTGGACGTCCCCATGCATAGCCACTAGAGGAGTTAACCCTGAATGGTAATTATTGAAGTTTCTTAAAAATTGCAATAATTACCTTTGCAGTGTCACTTACACAATCTCACTAATACACACACTCTCTCACTGGCATACACACTTACACATTCTAACTCTAACTTACACACTAACACATACACATTCTCACTGACCTACACATTGTCACTTGCACACTCTCACTAACATACACAGTGTCACTTACACACTCTCACTAACACACACAGTGTCACCTACATACTCTCACTTATACACACACACTCTAACTTACACACTCTCACTGGCATAGACATTGTCAGTTACACACTCTAACACCACACAGTGTCACACATGCTCACTAACAGTGTCACTTGCACACTCTCACTAACTGTCACTTGCACTCTCTCCCTAACACATACTCACTAACAGTGTCACTTGTACACTTTCCCTAACACATACTCACTAACAGTGTCACTTGCACACTCTCCCTAACACACACACCCAGAGTCACTTGCACATTCTCACTATCACACACACACACACACACACACACAGAGAGTCACTTGCACACTCTCCCTAACACACACACTGTCACTCAAACACAAACTTTACATAAGGTCACACTTTATTTACACACACAAACACACCAATTTAACACACTCCCCCATTTACAAACATGCACACAATAAGCAATCCCCCTTAACCATGCCATACCTGGGTGCTATGCTGAGCAGAGGTCCAGGCTGTAGGATCCAGGATCTTACTCTTTCTCCTGGGGGAGCAGGAGAGCCATGCACTTTGAGCACAGCCTGCTTCCTGCTCCCTTCACAGTGCTTCCGGTGTTCACAGGCTCCCCCTGCCTGCAGGAAGCACAGTGCTCTGCTCGGGTTACAGCAAACCCCACTGCCCGAGCAGGTAATCTGCTGCAGAGGGAGCCCAGCAGGTGAGTGGCTGCGCTGGGGGGTGGCTAAAGAGACGCTCGTCCAGCACAGCATCCCCAGACAGCTACAGCAGGGCAGCCCACCGGGAAACCTCTCGGTGGGCGCCCCCTAGAGGCCGGCGCCCTAGGCGAATGCCTTATTCGCCTTAATGGTAGCGCCGGCCCTGGGTGACCACGGAGGTGGACCACCCTCATCATTATGTGCGTATCATTACGTGCCCACTGCACGAGGATCTGGCGGTTTGGTCCATCTTCTTGGACAGTGTAATGGAGCACCTGGCACTCCGACTGGGTACCTCCATTGATATACCTTTCCTAGCTTGCGCGAGGACCACAAGCACTGCACCGGACACCACAATCACCGCAGACTCCACAACCGCCGTAACTTAACTGGAGTCTCGCCGTCTTCCTTCCACCCTGGATCAGCTTCTGTCCTCCAGGACTGTGTGGTGAAGACCTCTCCTCCAGGAGAGTGTATCAGGAACAAGCTCTGAAAAGAGCTAAGTGGTTAGAGCTCAGGGGAGTATGCAGAGCATAGCAATCCCCAGTGTGATATAGCAGTTCCCTCCAATCACGAGACAAGACTACGTGTTGAGGGTCAAGAAGATCTGTCTGTACTGGCACATACAGCCTCTTTTATTCACATTCTACAAACATAGTACTGCCCACAGGGTTTTGAAGAACAACCAATCAACACATTACAACACAGCTAACGCTCCCATTCATTACATCAGAAATCCTCCCCTCTGCCTGTGATACAATTATCTCAACACAATAGAATTATCACAGGCAGGAAAATACAGTATTATAAAACATTTCACAGAAACCCCAAAACATGCAATAACCCCATATATCCTCGGAACCAGGGGATCTGGGTGAACCACATATCAAAAATTCACCCAGATCCGTTCAGTAGTTTGGAAGATACGGTTTAATGCAGATTCCGCAGAACATATACAGGCTATATGAAAAATAATTATTGTTAAATGTGTCCCCTGTTCTGTAGTTTAAAATTACTGAACGATGTCTTTGTGCACCAAATACCGGCGAGATTGCACCGTGTAGAAAAGTCAAAACAGTGTCTGTGAGTTAAAATGGCCGCCATCCATTGTAATCACCATGTGCTTCATCCATTGTTCTCACCATGTGCCTCTGATACATGAAATGGTGGCCACCCAGTAACTCCACAGTTTGCCTGGTAGTCTATCCAGCCGAACCAACAGATGAAACACAGTGCAACAAACGGAGGGAATCATAAAAAATATGGACAATAGTCATATTTGTGCACAATCTCCAGTTTTATCACAGGGCATAGATAGTGTTTTCAAATGCCATGTATCCCAGGGCCATAGTCATGTGGCAGGAGGCTGGAAATCAGTCCTCTCCAATGCCCAGTGGCAAATGGTAGTTTGTCACAGATGGGTTTAAAGGTCAGTCATATTGGCAGGCGCCTCAGGTGTCCAATGCCAAGCTCCATCTGTTCACTGATGCCGTAGGTGTGTTGGGTTTTGGGGCCATCTCTGGGGCCCACATGTGTGCCAAATCTTGGCCAGACTCTTGGCATTCGGCGGGGTTGACCTTGCTAGCTTGGAGCTTTTTCCTATTGTGGTGGCAGTAGAGATCTGGGGTGATCTCCTCAGGGATCGTAGGGTGGTCTTCCACTGTGATAATATGGGGGTTGTGCAGGCCATCAACAATTTGTCTTTTTCCTCCCCTCCAGTGGTTCATCTTCTGCCGCGCCTGGTGCTGTGCTGCTTGCTTCTGAATGTGTATTGTAGGGTTGTGCATGTGCCCAGGGTTGCTAATGTTACAGTGGGTGCTCTTTCTTGTTTTCAGTAGTGGAAATACAGGGTGGCAGCGCCCGGGGAGGATGAGGTGGGCTTTCCATGTCCAGCGGGCCTGTGGGGCCTTGGGCTGAAGAATAATGTCTTGGATCCGGGGTTCGGTCTTGGAGTCTACTTGGCAGTGTTCTGGTAAGGCATGGAGCGAGTGGGTAGAATTAGAGAGGCAGCTCAGTGGTTTTCAGTTAGATGGTGAACGTGTGCAAGGTTTGTTACAGCTAATTTGGTGCTGGGATGCTTTGGGATGTTCCTCCTCCGCTGTGTCCGGGAAGTTGTCTGGGCTGAGCTTTTGGGTTAAGCTCACCAGAGTTTCGGACATCACAAAGGATGTTCTGGTTTCATTGGTTATGAGGGGATGGTGTAAGGGGCCCAAGCTTACAGATTTCAGGCGCTCTCATGGTGGGCTTGTTCTGCCGCAGGTTTGTTTCTCCCTATTCGAGGTGGAGTTATTTCAGTTGGCGTTCTCCTTTGCCTTTTTTGGGGCCATCCAAGCTTGTGAGCTCATTCAAATCGGTCCCTGGGGTTTGTTATTTGGGGATGTCTTTGGTGAAGTGGATGCAGTGAGGATTTTGATTCGGAAGTCCAAGAAGGATGTTCTAGGACGAGGTAGTGGGTCACATTCCTGGCTCTATGGTCTGTCCTTTGGCATGTCTTTATGCTTTTCTTGTTGGTTCACAGGGATGTCAGTTTCTTATCCCAGTTCCAATTTATCTGGGTTTTCCGCATGGCTTTGAAGGTTTTGGGGGTGCCTAGTGCAGAGTTTGGGGGGGCACTCCTTTTGGATAGGGGCTGCCACTGAGGCATCTCTTCTGGGGTTGGCTGAGGAAGTTATCCAAAGGATTGGGAGATGGGAATCTGGGTGCGTCCAACTGTACTGATTCCATTTCCCTTTAGTCGTTGTAGGAGCCGGAAAATGAGTATGGGTCATCGGCCATTTGTACATACATTGGGCACAATAGTAGGCTGCAGTTCATCATGGGGGACTACAATTTGGCCTGTCGCCAGCAGTGGCAGAAGTCCATTGGTTCAGTACCCGGGAGGATGCGGTGGGAGCATCTGTTGCCTGAATTAGTATGTTTGTCCAGTCGGCTTGGTGTTCATGATGTTATCCTGATTCATGATGGGAGGAACGATCTTGGCACTATTACGGTGTGCGATCTGGGAGAGATCATCCAGTAAGATTTGGCTGAGCTCTGGCTCAGATTCCAGAGGGTGTGTCTGGTGTGGTCCAAGGTGCTGTCTCGGAACTACTGGAAGAGGGCATGAGAACTCAGGGCTCTTGAACGGAGCAGAATCAAACTTAATATGCGGGTTTCAAAGTTTGTGAAGGGAATCTGGGGGCTCACGGTGCGTCACCGCATCTTTGAGCATAACGCAGCAATTTATTTTAGGAGTGATGGAGTCCACCTGATGGAGCTTGGACTGGGTCTGTTTAATTTAGCATTGCAGGATGCACTGGAGGAGGCCATGGCTTTGGTGTTGGGGCAGCCCCGCTGATATAGGGGGTAAACCAGCGGGTCCTGTGGCGGTATATGATGCCAGTCACTCTGGGGTTAGACCAGCAGTCCGTGGAAAGTGGATGGGCAGGGCTGTCCCTGCCCTAACCTCAGGTACAGTTATGGATAACGGACGTGCCCACTGAGCCAATAAGCAGCTAGTGGTCAGCATTACAAAATGGAAAGCCCAAGAAAAGGCCTTGTACTAGTTAGAATGAGGGGGGAGGGGCAGCTGCCCTAAGTTATATTTGGTTGGCAAGGTGGTACTCAGTGACGTATCTATTTACTGAGTAATTATGTATATAGTGTTTAAGTTAATTTGAAGTTTTAATACTTATTTATAATTTGTTTCATGTATGTTTGTCTGTGTATTTTATCTGTCACAGCTTGGTTGCCCAGCAGGAATTGTGGGAGCCCAGTGGGCATGTGGGAGCCCAGCGGGCATGTGGATGCCCAGCGGGCGTGTGGCAGTATATGGCCCTTATCAACCAGGGGTTGGACAAGCGGTCCGTGGTAAGTGGATGGGTACGGCTGTCTCTCCCCTAACTTCAGGTACAGTTATGGAAAATGGACGTGCCCACTGAGCCAATAAGTGGCTAGTGGTTAACATTATGAAATGGAAGGTCCAGGAAAAGCCCTTGTACTGATTGAAATGAGGGGGGGAGGGGCAGCTGCCCTAAGTTATATTTGGTTGGCAAGGTGGTACTTATTGATGTATCTATTTACTGAGTAATTAGGTATATAGTGTTTATGTTAACAGAAAAGAAGGGAAGTACTATATAATATCCCAAACAAAGACAAGAGAAAACGTGCCAAACACCCAAAAGTGTACCTCACATACACCAATATAATAGGAACAAAAGAGTAAATCTATACTGTATAAAATACTAGTATAGATTAAAGGGGTAGCACAAAAAACATGAAGCATACAACCTGTAAATAATACAACATAGTCCTTCAAAGGATCTAAAATATAAGAAAAATCACATAATAGTGAAGCATGTACGAAAATATGTAATTCACTCCCGTAGGTAGAGAACTTACAAGACCATACTGTAGATCTGCACTTATCTCCCTTCCATAGGGTGTATAAATAGCGATTCTTCTCTCAATAGACTTGTGTATGTAGACCAAAGGCGTAAATGCAGGACACTCAATCCTCAAAAGGAAGAGAGGTATATAGAGCAGTATTGCAAACCAAAATGGATTTATTAATACAAATTGCACTTACATCAAGTGAAGATTATAGCAGCATATCACCACTAGCAAGTGGTGCAAAGGAGAAGGAGTCCCTCTATGGTAGTGTAAAAAATCGTATATATATATAAAAAAAGAAAAATTTACTAAAAACACAAAAAAAAAAAAAACAACAATAAAAATATATATATATATTAATATCCAACGCGTTTCGTCTTTGTAGACTTCTTCAGGGATAAAGGAATGTCCAGAATGTCCTTTTCTTTTTATAAGGCTCCAAAACATCTTGAAATTGCCGCGGGAAAAAGCTTCTACTTCCGGGTTTCGTCCTTATCTGATTTTGATTGGTCGAGCATGATGATCATTTCCAGTGGGTGTAACGAAGTCTTTTACTTCCGCGTTCCAAGCTGGAACGCATTGCGTCCATAGCATACAACTCAATATCATAGACGGCACTTCCGCGTTCCACCGTGGAACGCACGGAGAACCGAGCCGCTCGTAAGGTGCAGGGAGAACCGGGCATCCCAGAGTGGAACAAGGGGAAGGCCACCATGCATCTATGTGTACAATACGACCTATACAGAATATGCAGTTTGAAAATAAATAATGAACTGCAAACAATCTCATAAAAGAAAAAAATATATAAATAGAAAGAATAAATAAATATAAAAATAAACATAAATATAAAAATGAAAATAAAAATAAAAATTAAATTAAAATAAAAAACAATCTCATATCTGTATATAAAAAAAGTGCACAAATACACAAAATGAGAATAATAATTAAAGTGACCATATCAATACATAAATGTCACAAAGGTAGTGTATAGATTAGAAAGATAAGATTGAGGATACATAGTACTTGAAAAGGGATGTGTCAGTGTGTATACATCCATGCCCACACATACATCCATATATATATATATATATATATATATATATATATATATATACATAGATGTACACACACACACATCCATATATCATAATCAAGATGTATAACACCCATCATAATATGAATATCCCAAAATGATTAGCCCAACATATGGGGATACATAAATATAATAACTCAGAACATAGAAAAAAAGGGTACTATAAACAAAAATATTAAACGTCTGGAGTGTATAATTACAGGAGTCCCGCCAAGTCTATTTCTTGGTTGAGGCCTCTCTTAAGGGTATTTAATGTATAAATCCAAAAAGCCTCCTTTTTGGCTAAATCATTAATTCTATTCCCCCCTCTCCA